ACAATATCATTTTGCAGTACTTTGAAATTTTAGGTCAAACCTTCTAAACCAGAATCAGTGAAGGACCACGTCCGAGATAATTTATATCAATTTGTCAGTGAAGCTGAACTTGATGAAACCTAAAGACAACACAAAATGTTGTTAAGTGCCGAAAGCAACCGTAAGGGAATATTAAGGATCAGGTACCATTGTTTTCATTCATAGTGAATTATATTTAAAAAATCCTTAAATCAAACAAATTGTTCTGTAAAATTACTTATAATTTGTAGACTTGAGCTTGTAATTATTTAACTTATAATCAAGTAATTTATCAATACGCATACACATTCTTGTATTTTTTAAATTCTATTTTTTGGGATTTGTTTTGGAGTTACTGGAATTTAATTATATTAAAAAAGAGGAAAAAGTTTTGACATGCTATGATTTAACTCGAGAGTCAACAAAAGGTTACCTGAAATAATTGTTAAATTAAATTTACAATAATCAATTTTTTAATGACGGTAATGGCAACATTCATTCATTTTTGTTTCTAATAATTTCATTAACTTAGTGCATTTGGAAAAAAAATCTTCCTTCGTTTATAATTGCATTTTAAACGATTACCAAACACTCCTGATGACAAATCATTTAGCATGGGGATGTTTTAAAAGACTGCTGATGAAACTATTATATCAAGAGCAATACTAAATAAGTTAAACAAGAATCCAGTTGCTTTAAAAGCAGGCTGGGACTTTTAAGTATTAACACAATCAGAAAGAACATTACAGGCTTTACAAGGAAAGGTAGTTACCCTACTATGACTTTTTTGATTTCCCAAATTACGCTTGTTCATTTTAAGCTACATGTATTTCATCTACCGTATACTTTTTTATTCATTTATGTTTACATTACATGTAAAACTAATGTTTTTTTTCACAATGAATAACATGACAGCAGGATGGTCAATTTTGATGTCTGTCTATACATTATAATGATATTGACAGTAAATTGGGAAGTTGTTTTCTTTTTTAGACATCAAAAGAATGGGTCAGATACTGAATTTCTTAATATCTGAGGGGAGGGGCAGATGATAATAAGATATCGGTGGAGCCAGTCATTGCCATTCATAATCCATACTCAACATGGTTAATGTTTCACTTGCTTTCTTTGCTTTGCTCTGATTTGCTTCTGTGAAAGAAAGAATTGGTGAAAACTTTGAAGTCCTTATTGAGTCAAAAAGGACTTTTAATGAAAAAAAGGACCTTGTGAGCTTACCAGTTAATAGCTTATTTTAATGCTAGTAATAATTTAGTGAATCATTTGATCAGTTTGCAGATGCAGTTTGAAAGTTTAAATCATGCAACTCCTCCTTAACCTAACTCCTCAAATTCGATTATAAAGCATTCTCACAATCTTTACATATAATGCTATTGTGCACTTTTGTTTTGGTTTCATTTTCACTGTATACTTCAAAAAATATGTTCACACTACAGTGCACATTTATCATTGTTTATATTCCTTCTCATTGGAATTTGATACAATTTTCTCAAAATGTTCACTATATAATACAATAGTGCATTATTTTGGTTTTGATCTCAATTGTTTTGGGGTTAACCTGGGACAGTGGTCTAATAGCACAACATATTAAGAACATACTGTAAACATCAGTAGCAATTTGCTTAACTCAAAAGATTGGTGGGAGGCACACAAATAACTAACATAAGAACAATAGACACAAAGCACAGAAATAAGATTACTCAAAGTTACTTAAAGCTAGTTCAAAGCCAATAACAACAAATAAATAAATCATATCCTCTAAGACTTAAAAGTATCAATCAGTACATATCCAAAGGATTAAGTGTAAACTTGTGAAAAAACATGAACTTGTGCATTGCCAAAATATGAATAAACAGTATTGACAGGATGTAGAATAATGAGTATTTGTTCCTCATGGAATAAAGGGGATAGATTACTTGTTCCAACAGGAACTGAGATTTTTTGGCATTGTTTATAACAAAGTTTTCGGGGGAACTTCTGTTAGGTGGAATAAATATATGTTGACAAACTTTGTATGGGGTTATGGGTATCATTTTGTGAGCTTGCTCACTAGTACCTCTAGTTGTAAATAGTACTATTAAGTATTGTGTAAATTTAGTGTAGATATTTGCATGTTCATTTCTGAAAATCCTGGCATTTGAATTTTGTTTGTAGGGTGTTATTCTCTTTTCATATTCTATGATATTATTTAATCAATATCTATTATCAATGCCATTTGTAGAGATATGATTAATTTACCACATCCAAATATGTATTATTTTTATGCCCCCACCGTATCAGAGTGGACATTTATTGTTACCCTTGCTGTCCTTCCTGTACGTCCCCAAAATTGGTTTCCGTTTTCTTACTTTAGTTTGCCTCAACCAAATGTTATAAAAATTATACACAATGCTTATTACTACAAAACACAGATCAAGTTTGCATTGGGTGGCGTCACTTTTTCCGTTCATGAGTTATGCCCCTTTATAAACATAAAAATTGCTGAATTTTTCGTTTCCGTTCTCATACTTTAGTATGCTACAACCAAATGTTATCAAACTTGTACACAATGCTTATTACCACAAAACCCATATCAAGTTTGAAATTGGGTGCTGTCACGTTTACTGTTCTTGAGTTATGCCCCTTTATGGATGGAAAAATTGCTAAATCTGTCGCTTCCGTTCTCTAACTTTAGTTTGCCTCAACCAAATGTTATGAAACTCACACACAATGCTTATTATCACAGTCTTTACTATGTGAATCCTGTATCTGTCTGTGGAAGTTGACTCATGCATATTTACAAGTGGGGCATCTGTAGACACATTCTCCGTTTATTTTCAGATTAAAATCTTAATTTTATAATTTTAATACATATTTTATTATATCATGTATATTTAGCTGTTACAGTGGTAAATTTTGGTAGCGAATTCATGCTCTTTAACAGACTTTTGTGACACCAGAATATTTCAGAAACAATTTTTTAACCTAATCAAAATGTATCCAGGTGTAATATTTTATTTTCTAGGCACCAACAGGTCCAGGACGTCATAATTTTGGAGTAGAAAGTGCAGAAATGAACAAGCCTGTGCTACAAGTAAATCAACAGAAAGGAAAAGTAGAAAAAATGGATACATCAGGACCACAGACAGGTGGTGCTCTTGTCACACAATCACAAAGACCTAAAGTAAGAGTTATTATGGATTTGTGCATATTTTTGTATATATTTAAGGTCAAGGACAGTAAACTGGACTATGTCACAGATTTTTTTTTATAACTTTATCTTGTTGAACTGTAACTAAAAATAAAAAAAACAGAAATTTATGTATCTACAAAATATAATTTTTTAAGAAAAATTTATACTTTTTAATTGAAATTGGAGATTTGATGATTTTAAGACAAATTTACAAATGTTTTTTGCAAATTTTATGTGCTTTCTATGGAAATGTTCACCTATTTTGAAAGAATGTAATCAGTAATATTTCAGAAAATAAAAGAGATAAAAGCATTATTTTTTTGATTTTCAGTTATAGTTCAACAAGCTAAAGTTGTATGCAAAATTTTACCAAAATCTGAGATATAGCCCATTTACTGTAACTTAGCCTTTAAATCACGTAAATACCTATTAACAAGATCCATGCATGTTGATGGCCTTATAAATAGTCTTTGACATCCGTCCACTATATTTTGTGATGTTTTCTAATTGGTGTAAGTTCTGCAGTTATTTGTCCTCAGTTATCGTCAGTGGATGACCACCACTTTCATCTGAGTTTTAGAACAAAAGTCAGCATGATGATAGGAGAGTTCCTTAGAAATCTGTTCTTTCAATGTGGAGGTTGAAAAAGTATAATCATGTGACATTTTTCTAAGCATCTACCTAGTTTTTAACACAAGTGAATTAAGCACATGGAATGATTTTAATAGATTTTAACTTAAAACATGCGACCACACTTTTCTATTATGACCCCCTAACCCTCAGATGAAAACATACGGTAATGTGTCATTACCCATGAGTTGATATTTTCATGCAGAAGAATTTGTGTTGATCTCAACAATACATAAATATCTGACGCTAACATTTGACTGCTGTAAGTAAAATGAGCTCCGACATGGAAAAACTTATTATGTCGGAACTAGATAATTTCAATTTTTGTCATGATATGAATAAAAAAGATAAGGGGTATGGTACAATAAAGAGACATCTAGATGTTAACATATGGTCTGGATTGGGTACACAGAATACTGAATGATGGATCTAAAAACAGAAAAATGGGTCCAAAATAAAGAATAGAGAATAATGGGGTGCTAAAATATGAAGAGTATAATGGGCCAAAAACATGCCTTAAATATTTAAAGACCCCACACACTTCCCCATTCAGACACTAAAAAGTTCTTCAAATGGAAAAGTTTCTAAATTCCTCTAAGTGTATACAAGCTAAGAATAAACTAAACAGAAAACACCAAAATCTGTCACCGTTCTCTAACTTAAGTTTGCTTCAACCAAATGTTATCAAACGTGTACACAATGCTTATTACCACAAAAACCATATCAAGTTTGAAATTGGGTGCTGTCACGTTTACTGTTGTTGAGTTATGCCCCTTTATAAATGGAAAAATTGCTAAATCTGTCGCTTCCGTTCTCTAACTTTAGTTTGCCTCAACCAAATGTTATGAAACTCATACACAATGCTTATTATCACAGTCTTTACTACGTGAATCCTGTATCTGTATGTGGAAGTTGACTCATGCATATTTACAAGTGGGGCATCTGTGGCCCAAATACACATTCTCCATTAATTTTCAGATTAAAATCTTAATTTTATAATTTTAGTACATATTTTATTATATCATGTATATTTAGCTGTTACAGTGGTAAATTTTGGTAGCGAATTCATGCTCTTTAACAGACTTTTGTGACACCAGAATATTTCAGAAACAATTTGTTAACCTAATCAAAATGTATCCAGGTGTAATATTTTATTTTCTAGGCACCAACAGGTCAAGGACGTCATGATTTTGGAGTAGAAAGTGCAGAAATGAACAAGCCTGTGCTACAAGTAAATCAACAGAAAGGAAAAGTAGAAAAAATGGATACATCAGGACCACAGACAGGTGGTGCTCTTGTCACACAATCACAAAGACCTAAAGTAAGAGTTATTATGGATTTGTGCATATTTTTGTATATATTTAAGGTCAAGGACAGTAAACTGGACTATGTCACAGATTTTTTTTTATAACTTTATCTTGTTGAACTGTAACTAAAAATAAAAAAAAAACTGAAATTTATGTATCAACAAAATATAAATTTTTAAGAAAAATTTATAGTTTTAAATCGAAATTGGAGATTTGATGATTTTAAAACAAATTTACAAATGTTTTTTGCAAATTTTATGTGCTTTCTATGGAAATGTTCACCTATTTTGAAAGAATGTAATCAGTAATATTTCTGAAAATAAAAGAGATAAAAGCATTACTTTTTTTACTTCAGTTATAGTTCAACAAGCTAAAGTTGTATTCAAAATTTTACCAAAATCTGAGATATAGCCCATTTACTGTAACTTAGCCTTAAAAATCACGAAAATACCTATTAACAAGATCCATGCATGTTGATGGCCTTATAAATAGTCTTTGACATCCGTCCACTATATTTTGTGATGTTTTCTAATTGGCGTAAATTCTGCAGTTATTTGTCCTCAGTTATTGTCAGTGGATGACCACCACTTTCATCTGAGTTTTAAAACAAAAGTCAGCATGATGATAGGAGAGTTCCTTAGAAATCTGTTCTTTCAATGTGGAGGTTGAAAAAGTATAATCATGTGACATTTTCCTAAGCATCTACCTAGTTTTTAACACAAGTGAATTAAGCACATGGAATGATTTTAATAGATTTTAACTTAAAACATGCAACCACACTTTTCTATTTTGACCCCCTAACCCTCAGATGAAAACATACGGTAATGTGTCATTACCCATGAGTTGATATTTTCATGCAGAAGAATTTGTGTTGATCTCAACAATACATAAATATCTGACGCTAACATTTGACTGCTGTAAATAAAATGAGCTCCGACATGGAAATACTTATTATGTCAGAACTAGATAATTTCAATTTTTGTCATGATATGAATAAAAAAGATAAGGGGTATGGTACAATAAAGAGACATCTAGATGTTAACATATGGTCTGGATTGGGTACACAGAATACTGAATGATGGATCCAAAAAAAGAAAAATGGGTCCAAAATGAAGAATAGGGAATAATAGGGTGCTAAAATATGAAGAGTGTAATAGGTCGCTATTGACTAGGATCGTCAGTTTTCCTGCCGAAGGTCATGGTTCTCTCCGGGCACTCAATTTCCTCCACCAATAAAAACTGACCGCCACGAAATAGCCGATAGTGCTGAAGGTGGTGTTAAACACCAACCAATCAATCAATCAATCTTGTCAGATATCCAGCATCAAAGTCAGCACTGTGGTACTGGATGGTATGACAGATTGTAGGTTTTCTTGTCTCATGTCCGTTGCATAACCTGCATTGAGTTCTTTTTCAGTACCATGCAATCAGTGTAGATTTATGGACACGGCATTGCTTGGTTCAAATAATCCTGCATATAAATAAATCTTGGAACAATTGATACTAAACTGACATTATATGTCCACGCTGGTAAGAAACACCAATCAGGATCCAATTCTTTTTCCTTTTTCCGTAAATGTGGGTCTGGATGGGGTTTACAGAATAAAGAATAATGGGCAAAAAATGCAGAAAAATAGGCAGAAAAAAAAATACCACAGAGAATAATGAAATGCTTAATTATAAAGAATAGAGAAAAATGGGGTGCTAAAATATAAAAGATAGAGAATAATGAGCAAAATAATTAGAGAATATAGAAAATAGTCTAAAGAATAAAGAAATAAAGGACCCCAACCAGACCCTCATATATTTACACTGATTGGTTCACCCATGTTGTTGTATTATAAGAGGTTGTTTCATTTGCATTACATTCTGACCTTGTTAAAACATTGTTAAATTACACACAACAAAGATTGAATCATTGTTGGTTTGCTTAACGTCAAGTGGAAGATATTTCATGCATTTTCAAAACTATACACAACAAAGAACTGGCATTTGAAATGTAATACAGCATTGTCATAGCCATTTTGAATTAAATAATTTTTTATCTTTATAAAAAAAAACCATTGTGGAAGGATTTTTTTTGGTCATTTACAGATGGTTCAAAGAATTCCTGATCATAGCAAAAGGCGAGCACATCATTACATTGGATTTCCTCATCCAGATGGTGAAGCTTCAGACGAAGAGGAGGAAGGAGACGATTCTGAGCAAGTTATTCCTGCCTTACTATGGACACACCATGCATATTTTGATGCGAGGTCATTATCACGTGCACAGGCAGAGTACAACTTTTATCGTTTCCTGGAAAAACAATGGCGACGAACTGTAGGTTTGTAAATAAATTAAGTTAAATGTAGCATATAAATAAGAGATACTAAACACTAGTTTACTAACAATCAAAACTCATTTATTAATTCATGAGTGACTCCCATGAACTCCAAACAGAATGAACAAAACAGAGGTTTATAGAGGGGCGTAAAGACCTTTTTTCGGGATGTCGGGATTGAGCTGTTTAATATAGGGGAATTCAGGTATAGCCAGTTGAATCATAGGGAATTTAGGATTTGATTATACCGTGAATTGGAGGAATGGACACATTATTTTCTTGGGAATTCTGGATGAGACCCCTCCTATCCCACTCTTTATATGGTATACTCTATGTTTCTAGTTATGGTGACAATGATTTAAGAATTATATGTGCAAACATCATGCATCAAACACATGTCAAAAAACCTGTTGTTTTGCTCATGCAAGTACAAATCAGGTGACAAGTCTCATTCGGTGATGTCACAATGTAGGAACAGAGGACGTTTCAGATTTCCCCCAAAAAAGGAACAGTTACTATATTCTACCAATTATTTTAATGTTTATAAATCTGATAGAAAACTGTCACAATGTTTATATTCAGTCTGTTAGTTTATCTTACTCAGTTGTTTTTACTGAATTAAATAACTAACAAATTACCTTTTTTTGCAGTTGAGAAGAATAAAAATGGAAGACATAAAATATCCAAGATTCAACATAAATGAATTTAGGAATATTCCAAGAAATCGACTTTTGTATGCTGTAATATGCACAATACTAGACCATTCAACAAATAAAAAGGTACAGGAAGCTGCTTCTAAAGCAGCAGAAGATTATCAGAAATTCACTGTATTGGAGCAGAATATGCTTCAAAAGAAATTGATGTTAACAGTAAGTTCTTACTTTACTTTACAAATGTAAACTTAAGACAGCAATCTAATTGCATAAAAAAATCAAAAAAATTAATAGTGGTCAATATACTTAGAACTGTGTTCTTTTATTACCTTTAAAAGAATGATTTGTTTTGTGGGCAGGATAATTTCTTATTTTTCTATTGACCTTTAGCAGTAATAAAAGTATGTTTTTCAGTTCTAGTTATAAAAATATTCATTCAGTGTGTTTGAAAAACTGATATTTCAGAGATTTTTTTGCCAAAGGGGATTGTTTACATTATTATTTGTATATTATATTAATATTCCTCATTGTTGTTAAATGGACAACCGTGATTTCTAAAATAAATGCATGCAATGGTTTTCAAATTTAGAAGGGAATATTTTTTAATTGTTCCTTTATTATATTAGAAAAATTTAATAAAGAACATGAAAAATCGTCAAAAAGAAATTATCCACAATGCTTTTCAGCATAAAAATGGTAGCATACGCTATATTTTGTTAATAGTGAACAAAAAGGTAAAACATTCTACACAGAGGAACAAGTGATCAGTATGCTGGAGTTTCTTATTGACAACATATTTGTTGAATTTGGAGGTAGACTTTTTCAACAAATTGTCGGCATTCCTATGGGAATAAACTGTGTGCCCCTCCTTGCCAACCTCTTCTTATTTTCATATGAGTAGGAGTTCCTTCAGACACTTATCAAAAACAAAAAGATCAAAGAAGCCAGATAATTTTATTTCACATACAGATATATTGATGATGTTCTTTCCATTAACAATCCAAACTTTTCTGATTGGGTTCCATTAATATATCCTCCAGAACTAGAAATTAAAGAAACAACAGACATGGCTTCCTCTGCCTCATTTTTAGATTTATACCTCCAATTTGACATAAGCGGTCATATCAGTACCAGAATCTACGACAAACGAGACGATTTTAATTTTGAAATTATCAATTTCCCCCACCATAGTAACAGTATACCAACTTCACCTGCATATGGGATATACATTTCCCAACTCATTCGGTATTCAAAGCTAGCAGCTGCTACTCAGACTTTATAATACGTCATCAGTGTCTGAGTAAAAAGTTGATGAACCAGAGTTATGTCAAAGAATGTCTTGTCCTTTTTCTAAAAAAGTTCATCAGAAGATACCAAGACCTTGTTAACAAATATTCCGTATCAACTTCACAAATAATACACGATGATCTTGAAGTATAGATTCTAGGTACTGATGTTGTTTATCATCTTAATTACGTGTTACAGTGTTCTTTTATTTGTCTTTGTAAATAAAAACTTTTACTGTCTATTTTTGGTAATATCCATTTGACGTGGCTCGGTACTTATACATCCCGTCATTATGTTATTGTGCTATGGTAAAGTTTTGTATTCTTGTCTTTCGTTTTTGCTTATGTGCTTTGTCTTTATGCCTTTTTGTTTTTCTTTGTTGACATATTTGTTTGTTTTTATAGTGATTAAGATTATAACACAATGTTGACAGCCGTACCCCTATTTTTTACATTTTTACCTATTATGTCTGTTTGTTTTGTTCACACATTGTGGTCAGTATAATGGAAATTTTTTGTGCGACAGTCATACAAGTGAGAGGTTTTGCTAGCTATAAAACCAGGTTTAATCCACCATTTTCTGCATAAGAAAATGCCTTACCAAGTCAGGAATATGACAGTTGTTATCCATTTGTTTGGTGTGTTTGACTTTTTAAATTTGGCATTTGATTAGGGACTTTCCGTTTTGAATTTTCCTCAGAGTTAAGTATTTTTGTTATCTTACTTTTTTCCAAGAGTATCTGAATTTATTCCCATGTTTTAGTGTCTGACACCAGCATGTTGCATGCATGATGAGAAGGGATTCTCAAGGATTCAATTTAAATATGCCCCGACTGAAAGTTGGCTATCGATTTTTAATGAGTTTTCCTTGGAAATATTTAATATATTGGAAATTGCTCTCAAGTCTTCAACTCTCTAGTAAGATAATTATAAAAAGTTTTTTAGAACAAAAAAAGTTTTTTTAAGTTCTTGTCCTTGGACAGAACAGATAAAATATGTGCAACAAGGGGGACATTGGAACTGTGTTCTTTTATTACCTTTATAAGAATGATTTTTTTTGTGGGCAGGATAAGTCATAAATGGTTATTCCTGGTGGCTCCCTTGTCTCACTTTTCAATGTTGACTTTCTTTTCTTTTTGATGAATGAGCCACATGACATGATGATCACATGCGAACCCATCTCCTCTAAAGGTCAAATTAAAAGGTTGCATGAATAAGGATTCAATGAGTTGAATTATTGACTTGCAAGTCAATAATTTACCAGGCCAGTGATGTATTTTAGCTTATTTTGATGAAAGTCGCTGAATGCGAGACATAGGTGTTGCCTTTCTGGTGGTGTCATTGTCAGCTTCAACAATTGTTAAGTTTTCTGCTTAATTTTTTTCGATAGGAACTACTTGTGATAGATCAACAATATTTTATAAGAAGTTGCATTAGTATCAGTACATATCAGTTTGGCGACTATTTTGAGGCCCTTGACCCCTAGGTCATGGTTTAGTGACTTTGAATTAATTAGCAATTTTCAATGCTTAAGTTTTGATAGGAACTACTTGTGATAGATCAATGATATTTTCTATAAAGTTGCATTACTATCAGTACATATCAGTTTGACGAGAATATTTTGAGGCCCTATACCCCCGTAGTGACTCAATTAATTTCCTATTCCTATAAGTTTTCTACTTAAGTTAGTTTGATATCATCTACTTACAATAGACAACAGTATTTTCTATAAAGTTACATTACAATACTGTCTCTGTACATCTCAGTTTGTTGACCATTCGAGGCCCTAGCCCAAGTCAAAGAGGACAGCAGTTCTTAAGCAGTTTATTAGCATTCACAGTTCTTACTTGACAGCTGTTCTTTATCAGTTCATTAGCATTCACAGTTGCCAAATTCAAGGCAATGGTTAATTTGCATATAGGCATTCCAATAGCATTCCTTAGCAGTTTCTTATCAGTTTATTTAGCCTTCACAGTTATTTAGCAGTTATTTTTGACGAAAAATTTAAATGAGATGCCCAAAAACTGTTATCTTCTCTTGAATATTCATGAGAACTGCTATAATAACAGCTATCAATAATGAATATTTATACAAACTGCTAAGTTGTACATCCTAATATGGTTTTCAAAACTGCTAATAACTGCTATGGAATGCTATCGGATCTGTCAAAAGTTGGAATACAGAGGTACATGAATATACAGGGTACAAGTTATGAATGCAGAAATATTTTACTGTAAGTCTTGTTGAAATTTCAAAAAGTTGTACTAACTCATGTAACTTAAATTTGTAATTTAACTGCAATCAAATGACTCGATTTTAATCCAATAACAGACTTGTTAAGGGGGTGTAAATATGTTTTGCGAGAACTGTACCTGGCCTTAGACCCCTTATTCATTATGTCAGTGGAAGAATAATGGGAACAGTAAAGAATGCACTTTAAAAATCAGTGCTTATAATTTAAAGCAACTAATTCAATAAGAGTGGTTACTAGAGACTATTAATTACCTTGACTAAGTGATTTTCAGATTAAGAGTTATTTCTTTTTAATTAGTATTTAATAACCGAATGTACAACTAATTTCTCTCTCTCTCTCTCTCTCTCTCTCTCTCTCTCTCTCTCTCTCTCTCTCTCTCTCTATATATATATTTTATGTGGACCTAAAGACAGCAGTTATCTTCTCTTCTCTTTTTAATTTAACAAAAATATTTTTCTTACTACAGGTTATATATTATGTTTCGACTTTAAGATACAAACTTAGGTTACATATATTAACTTCATTAAATGGATTGTTTGGTCAATATTAAACAATCAGTTATTGGCAGCCTAGGTTTCCTTTATATTGCCTCCCCCATTTTTCAACTCTTGAATATGATTTGTTTTTGGTATTTTACAAAATTATATTAAAATATTCATATTTCTTTTTTCAAATAACATCTTGCACTGTAAGTTTATGCTAGTATTTTATTACAATCCTGTAAACATCAGATATTCTATGTGAATAAACAACTATCCCCCTTTTTTTGGGCTTTCTGTATGATTTTTGTTTTCCCCTACAAAATTAAATTATGTCAGAAAATACACATGCATTAACTGTAAATTCAACTTACTGTATCATGTGTATTGCAGGTTTGTGAAAGTATTCCATTAAGCCTAAATTAAGGTAGCACTACAGTCTAACAATGATTTTTTGAAGATATTTTTTTTATCACATAATTTTAAAGTAAGTATTATTCTGCACAGTTTGTAAAAATCCCAAAGTCATTATCATATCACAACAGGGAGTAAATTGATAATGAACGTATGTAAATAAAAGCACATGTAATTAATCTAAATATATAGGCATTTGGGAGGGGCTAATATGTCAATCATCTGTTGATACCAATGTCCAGCTGTTAATCCCTGACCACAAGATACATATCTCATTGCATTGCAACAAAACTAATTTATAAAACATGGAAGTTTAGAACAGAGAAAAAGAAAAAGATATGAATAGGAAAAAATTTAAAGGGAAAAAATCTACCATAATGAAAAAAAACAATGGAAAAGAGTGTGAAAGTATCTTTGAAAGCCTCTGACTGCCTGTATAAATTTCTCGTCTTTGGTCTTCTACATTTAAAAATAATTTTAGGCATTTTAACTAATTTTAAGATTATGTGAAATTTTTTAATTCCATGAAACTCATAAATCAAGTTGGACAGTCTATTTTCAAGAAGGGGATGGTCTTGATCTTTTTATGGACATGTATTTTAATTTTAATATTTTAGCTAATTTCAGTCATCATGGTCATATTATATTTCTTTTCAAAATTCAAATGAAAACTATTCTTTATAGTGAGAATAATGATGTTAAATATTAATTATGATGCAGCTGGCCAATCCTGTTATTCTCTTATCTTAGACTGTCTGGACAGAGGCGGAGCTTTGTCTTTATTTAATTACTACATCACAGATGTTGGTCAAATCTGTGACGTCAAACTCCCGCCAAATGCCAAGTTAGTGTTATACAGTGCACACAAAATGCAAATTTTACAGCATTAGAGCATCAAAGACACAATGTGTGTGGTTCTATTGATAAAGTAATGGTGTCAGAACACTCCTGGGGTGTTCCCAGTGGAATTTTTGTATTTATGTGGCATTTATAGGGGTTCTTAAGAGGAAATTCAGTTTTAAGGTCATTTCTCAGAACAATTTTTCATGAGAATTGTAAGGAAAAAATGAAAATAGAAACTTTATGGGTACCCCCTTTGGCTTGACTTTGATATATGTGATTGAAAGGAGTATTTTCTACAATACCGTGTCCCAGTTTTTGGATAATTTGTTTCTAAATGAATTTATAGGTCTCCAAAGATGAAAGGTGAAATGAGGTTTGGCATCCAGCAGTAAAAATAATATATCTTATTACTGGAGGCATATATCAAAAATCTGAGACACGGTTTTGTAGATTGTGAATGGTTGATTAAAGGGATGAAAACAAATTTTTACTACCATTTGACCTGAATGTGCCATTTTAATCCAAGTTGGAAGACCACTTTTTTGGCAATTAATGAGCTATATTTTGAAATTAATCATACCAAAAATAAATGTATCTATAGATTAAGAAAGAGTTATATTTCAGCTTTAAAATGAGTTAAAGATTTTTAAAATCCATTGAGTAGTTTTGGAGAAATTAATCTTTAAAGACTATTGGTTGGAGTCAGAAAATTCTGACTGTAGTGCTACCTTAAACTTTATAATTGACATAAATACAGTTTTTCACCAGCAAGTATTTACCACAGCTTGGAGCCGAAATGCACATTTGAAAATGATCAAATAATCTTCAAATAAAGGTTTACTATCAAGCTGAAAACACAGCCAGATCCAAGCATTTTTATAACAAAGATTAAAACAAAAACTGCTATCAAACTGCTATCAAACTGCTGTCCGAACTGCTGTCATAACTGCTGTCCGATTGACAAATTGACAGCAGTTTTAAGGTATCCAAACTGCTAAGGGTGAATGCTAAGAAATGGTGAAACAAGGCAATTTTTCAGACTGCTATTAGATGGACTGCTAAGAGCAGCTGAAAGACTGCTAAAAATTTGAAGAACTGGTAACTATAGCTGCCCACTAGTTCATGGTATAGCGATTTTAATTACTTAGCAATGTTGCTGTCCATCAGATTGTCTTTTTTGCTGATTTTTATGCCGTCAGGCGAGACATATATCTCTTTGTCAACAGTTTATTTATTCAGTATCATATAATAATTATTTCAATTTATCTATAGATTCCAGGAGGTATAGACATAGAGCAAGGGCAGTACAATGAAATAATAAATGAAATGAGATCTAGATTTAAAAAAACAGCCAGTAAGGCATTAAGACCAATAGACAAATTCAAAATGCTTCCATTGTTTGAGTACCTGAAGCTCAAAGAAACCATCACTAGCCAGAGAAGTCAGATCGAGGATCTAGCTAGCAGGTAGGATGATTTTCCAATAACTGCAAACCAGCATTTTTTTGCTGTCAATTTAGTTACTGCACTTTCTAAAGTAGAAAATTAAGTTGCCATGTTTTATGCTAGAAAGCTAAATTAATAAATGAATGATTGACTTTTCAAGGAGACATTTCGAGGTTCCATTCAATACAATCCACAGAGAACAAAAGTTATTGTATTTTTATAATGGGACAGGTGAACTTGCAAACATTTAAATACCTCGACAAAGAGAAAATAATTCTGTGGAAAGGTTTCATTTGGTTAGCAATAGTATGCAATAGCTCTCCAGGAACCTCTTGGTTATTGTTGCAATAATATTTTTTGAACATGTATACAGTCGACTCTCGTTATCTCATAGTCAGTTGGACCAGAGATACCGGTAGTTCGACTCAAACGAATACTGGAAGTTTGACAGACCAAGGGATACAACTCATGTTTAGCTTGGTAAAGATTAAATAAATCCTGAAATGAATATGGGTAGGGGGTCGATATTCTGGTCTGAGATCGATGTATCTGAATGTAATGTTCTATAAATATTATAATAAATTCATACGATTTTTCGTCTCTTATTTATTTCTTTGTACAGTTACAATTTTCCCGTAATTTTTAGCCGAAAGAGTAACTTCCAATCGATCTAAGGGTGACAAATTTGTTCATTTTCGTATACAAGAGATTTTGGAAAATTTTAATTTCTTTAATTTTTTTTGTTATTTCAATCTTTTTCTGCAAGATATAGTACAAAAAGTTTATAGACGCCGATTGAGTAGTTTTCAATTGATCCCTTAGTCTTAACAAATCAACCTCATAAATTTATGACATTACGGTTAATTGTTTTACAAACAATATGAATAATTTTTCATAAACTATAACAATGTATCACTAATTATTTATCTTGTGATCAAAACTAACTATGGAAAACACTCTTGGAAAAAGAAATGTCATAAATCAATACAGTGGTCAGTGACCGGAAATTTAATTACACATGTATTGTCAGGTGAACTCTTCATCAAGTTAAATCCCAGAGGTCATGTTTTGACATATATGTGTTTAAGTTTGAGATGAATAATGCAATTTGAATGCTTTTGTTAACCTTGGGAGCATAAATTTGGTTGGAGTCAACAGAAATTTCAACTCATCCAATTTCGACTCATCAGGAGTCGAAATACATATATTTATATGGAACAAAATTCGAAACCACAGGAAAACTTCAACTCATCCGAAATTTCGAGTCAACCGAGTTCAAGACAACGAGAGTTAACTGTATCTCCCTTAATCAGTATAACACACAAGTTTACATGTAAATGTTTGATAGGTTGAGTGGTATTGCCAGTCAACAGTTGCCTGATGTCTGGGACCGTGGATTAACAGATCTTGGAGATAAGAATAGACCACAGAAACTTGGAGAGAGGTTTGCAGAGTTGTTTGATGAGACTTGGTCCAGTGCCTATGAATCTTTGAAGCCTAAAGATATTGACGATGATGAGAGTGATGAAGGAACTATGGACGTATTACAGCGAATTGTTAAGGTTAGTACAATTTTGAAGGTATATGTGATCTTATGTGATCTTTTGTTATCCTTCATCATGATCATACCAATTTTGGGGTCACACCAGGGAATTTAAGAGCTCACCCGAGATTTTTCAATATATAGCCGGTCATCAAATAACCCTTAGATTTCAGCATATGATCCATTTCAATTATGAGACTTCAAGTGTCTAAATTGGATGCTACATTTTCCTCCAAAATATTGGATTTTTCACAAAATTTTTTTTACAAAAATATCCCAGTGGATATGATATTCCAAAGCTTGCACTTCCTATCATAATTTCTTTGACAGAGGGTTGCAGCTTTCAAGGTTCCAAGTGGTGAAGTTGAAGTCATTCCTTTGAAAAATTTATGGACACCATTAATAGGCGAGTGACATTTTTCAAAAAGACGCTTAGTTAATGACTTTAATGCACCCACCTAAATATGGCAATATTATTAATTATTTGAAGGCTTAGTATCTGTGCTTTCTGTTTTGCCCTGTGTAATATGGTATTTTGAACCCCCTGAAAAGTGAACCCGGGGTCAAAATACCATATGGTTTTTAGATATATAGCATTGCAGATTGTCTAATGAACAATATGTTGGCTATGCTTTTTTTGAAATTGGTGTTGTATAGTAAGGGGTTCATATACCATGGCAGGGGGTCAAAATACCATGGCTAATTAAATTTTCCAAACATTTTTATAATCATGTTTAATACATACCAACTACTTATTAGAGTATTTTTACTGTGTAAAGCAGTAAGAATAGCTATAATTCTTGAAATTGGAGGTGTAGAATAGTGGGTTCAATATACCATGGCAGGGGGTCAAAATACCATGGCTAAGTAAAATTTTCCAAATATCTTTATTAGGATGTTAAATACATACCAACTACTTATTGGAGTATTTTTACTATGTGAAGGGGTTAGAATAATTATAATTTTTGAAATTGGAGGTGTACAGGAGGGGGTTCAATATTACATGGCAGGGGGTCACATACTATAGCTAAGTAAAATTTTCCATTCTCTAACTTTAGTTTGCCTCAACCAAATGTTCAGAAACTGATACACAATGCTTATTACCACAAAACACATCAAGTTTGAATTTGGGTAGCATTACTCTTACCTTTCTAGAGTTATCCCCCTATACAAATGTAAAAATTGCTGAATTTATCGTTTCTGTTCTTGAAATTAAGGTTGTCTCAAGCAAATGTTATGAAACTTATTCACAATGCTTTTTATCACAAAACTCAGATCAAGTACGAATTAGGGTAGCGTTACTTTTACGGTTCTTGAGTTATGTCCCTTTATAATGTTATATGTAAGCGGGGGCATCAATTGTGTCCCATGGACACATTCCCCATTTATTTTCTTCGTGATTAAAGATAATGATTTGATATTTATTATAGAGTTTTATTATGACCAGTTACAGACCAAGTTTGAATTTTGTTTTGGTCTGATAATGTTTTGCAGCGTTATGGTCCTAGGACTTTGGAAATTCACGCAAGTAATCAGTTTTCCTTACTTTTTTCATCATGCTTGAAGATATTGATTTGATATTTGGTATTTATAGTTTTGCCATGACAAGTTACAGATCAAATTTGAATTTTGTTCGGTTCAAATGATATTTTGGCAGAGTTATGGTACTCGGACTTTGAAAATACATGCAGATCGTCAGTTTTCCGGTATAAAGTTTTACCATAACGTTACAGATCAAGTTTGATTTTTGTTCAGTTTAGATTATTATTTTTCTGAATTATGGTCCTTGGACTTCAGGCACATAGTCAGTTTTTCACAGTTTTTTTCGTCTTGCCTGAAGATGTTGATTTGATATTTGTTATATATTTTACCCCATGACAAGTTATAAGTCAAGTTAGCATTTTGTTCCAGTACAATGAATTTTTAACCGGTAGTGGACTATGTATTGCCATGCAATCCTCTCAGAATGCTTGTTTACCATGTTGTTATAGTTTCCCATCAACTTATGAATATCCTTTTGGTATATTTTGTCTCTCTTTTATTGCTCTAAAACCAAATGTTTGCAACAAAGAATTCTGAAGAATGACATGACTGCCACAGGTAAAAATATTTCAATAACTTGAGCTGAAAGAACAAACTTGAATTGATTAAAAGATTAAATGATCAAAAGCCTGATAAATCTGATTTTCCATTTTGGAATTTATTGCCCCTAAAATGTCATTCGTTTTAGCAAATTTCACAGTTATAACCCAGAAAGTACATGTACCTTGAAAACTTTTGTAGAGAGAGAAAAATTTTAAATAGCAAAAAGGACCAGCTAGACAAGATCTACAAAACAATTAACATGGTAAAAATTGCCCTAAAATGATTTTATTTATTGTTTAGAAATTCCAATAGGGAACACATTTTACATTTGAAGTAATTAAATCATGTGATCACTCCATATATATATATATATATACTTAAACTAAATTCTCAAACTATCAAAAAACTGTATGCTGATAAACAACCACAAAGGACAAACATATGAATATGTATTAGGTTAAAGCTTGCTTTTGAGATCTCAATCTCCCCTTTAAACCTTGAACAATGGACGAACAAAGACATAAAAGAACATACAAGAAAAGCATTTTGCTGTAAAATAAAGGTTAATAGATAACTAAAACACAAGTACTTACAAAAATTTATAATATAATGCCGTATAAAAAAATTCTTGCAGTTACTGAAAGCAATCTTAAAGAATTTTTCCTGCAGATATGATATCATGCTGTCCAAAGGTCTAAAAAGCAGTTGATGTACTTAATGTGTTCTTTTGTTACCTTGCAGGTTATTTATGACTTCTGTCAACATATATCACAGGACCAGATACAGAGACTTATTAAAGAAATGATACCTCCAGTAGTTGATCCCACCAGTGATTATCCAAATTCTGAGGTAATTATGTGTGAAAGAATAATGATAGCATGACTTGTTTTTCAAATTTGGGTAAAGGTTTTTTTTCATTTTTCAACATAAATTCTACCAAAACAAAAACAGAAAAATATGCCAATACAAAAATCTTTCTTCTTCTACAAGTCCATTAAAATCTTAAGTAGAATTACATTAAAGAAAAGCATATAGACAATTGAAAAAAACGTTTGCCATATCTTGTGGGTTTTAACACAGGACACAATTACCATCAACCAAACAACAATTGAAATTAATGGAATATAAATAGTTGATGCTTGTCTATTGTTCTGTTTAAATTCAAAGTATTATTCCTAGATTTTTTTTTTCTCTTTTTTTGTATAATCTAGATGGTTTTTCAAGTTTTGAACACTGGTCAACTACTATTCCCACTAAATGACAAACAGATTGACTTTAATCGAATTTTAATTTAACTTTCACTGTTTTTGTAGGGATATTATGCAAGTGATCAAATGAGGGCTAAGACAGAACAGATGGCCAGAGAATACAGGAATCTTGTAGCCCCAGCTACTGTCAAAGTGATGCAAACGGTATTTTATATGCAATGTTTTCGTAGATTCCAATGCATAGACCCTTTCGAAGCATATTTCATTTTCTCTATATAAGTATTTTAATATACCTGAGTATAAGTACCAAAGAAATAAAGTACATTTAAAACAGCAAAGAAGATCATGCTGTGTTAAGCATTCCTTTTATGCCCCATCGCTCTCAGGCACTTAAGTAATGTTACCCTTATTGGACATACTGTCCCTCCTTCAGTTACAAATCAAGTTTTTGTTTTAAGTTTATTTCTGGATTAACTTTCACTTCAAAGAAAAACAGGGTTTTTCTTTCATTCTAAAGGAGAGGGAATTTGTTTTATTCAGACACATCTAGATCTACACTAAAGTAAACTTGTATAGAAATATGACGATGATACTATTAACCTGCATAATTTAAAGACTCTCTACAAACAATTCTTATTTAATATTAAAAAGATAGCAAACATTGCTGTATTGTTGGCAAATAGTTCACATTAAAATGTTATGCAAAATCAGATTTTCATCTTCTCAGCATGTTTTTACCCAAACTTTCTAGGATTTTTTTCTCATTTGATTCTGATCAGATGAAAAAAAAGCCATTGAAATTAATTTTTGATACTAATTGGCTTATTATTATTTATCTCATTTGATTAAACAAGGTAATCAGTGTTTAAATCTGTAGCCAAATTTATCTGCCAGGCAGTTTAGAATAAACAAAATCATGTAGATATATGTATAGTATACAGTGTGATTAGCAAATATGAAACTTGTTATGTTTTTTGGCAGGAAATTTTTGAAAACCATATCAAGGAAAAACATTTGAAAGCTGACCAAATAAGTAAAGAACTGGTATCGTTTGTAGAACAATGTGTTGATCTTATCTGGTACATGTGTATCCAACAACCTCCTATGGAAATGACATGGGCAGTTAAAGGTGGACAGTTCAACAAAGAACAATTCAGATTTTCAGGGAGGAAAGGAAAGAAATACAGAATGACTGTTTGGCCTGCTGTAAATTTACACAAACATGGACCAGTGGTTTCACAAGGCTATGCTTTACCCTTAAAGGAGACTTAAAATGTGTTTTAATATGTAGACTTACATTAAAATATCTAGAATATAATTTCACTGTGATAGTATAGCCATTACAAAGAGCCTGCATGTATTATATATTACTTTGTTTGCAATTTAAGCCTTTCTGGTCAATATGAAAATAAGAAGATGTTGTATACATGCAAATGAGACAACAATCCACCAGACAGTTCTTTTGTTGCAAATATGGAAATATTTGAGGAATATGATTTCTGTTGACAACCCAATGAAAAAAAAAAACATTTTTCACCTCTCTAAAACTACCCTGCACTACAATAAATATCCTTTGTAAGATTAACAACTGAAAAAAAACCAGTAAAGAACTAGACTATGTCAAATAATGTGTTGACCATGTTTGTATCCTACAACCCTCCAAAGAAAATAAGATGGCTTCTGAAAGACGAAATGCTGAATACAAATATGAACCAGTGGTATTACAAGGCTATGCTTTCGGAGAAACAAATTTGTTATAACATGTAAATTTCATTTAAAATATTAAGAATATAATTTGACATATGGATATATATAATCAGTGGAAAATGTCTATAAACTCATCATAGATACCAGAATTGAATTTTTGTACGCCAGACACCCGTTTCATCTAAAAAAGACTCATCACTGACGCTTTAATACAAAAAATTGAAAAGGCCAAACAAAGTGCGAAGTTTTCGTCTTGTCGTAAAGTCTTTTTTTGGTCATATTTTTGTATTTGAGCCTGTTTATGGGGTACCAGAGAGACCAACGAACTGGTTTCAATTCTAGTCAAAAAGGTAATTTAGGTGAATGATGGTTGATCCATATACCAGACTTGACATTTATTTAGCGTCAATGTCTCCAGTCCTAAACTCTTTCTAGCGGGTATTTTTTATCCGATTGTTGTCAAGAAGGTTTCTACAGCAGAGGTTACTGACTTTCAGATTTAATTCAGGATATACGAAGAGGCACAGGCGAATGATCCTGCATGTCATGTTTTAATGTGTTTTATGACAAAAAGATTGGAACGCGAAAAAGAAAGATAGAATAGTTATAAAGTCTTCAGATAAAGATGAATTATTCTTTGAATGCATTTCTTCCCGTCACTGAAAATCTGTCAGGATCTGTGGTTCCATAGATTACTTTATCTGTATTTGGCAAAACCTTTCGGAGTTTTTTTTATTCGAGTGTCACAGACGAAATGAGTGTCTGACGTACAAAATTTCAATCTGGGTATCTATTATGAGTTCATTCAAACAGGTACAATAACCAGCAATAAAGATGGTCGTAGATTCTTCCCTGGACATGATATATGCAGTTTGTTCAGCCCTGCCATGTGTAAATTTGTACATGCTGTTCATGCTTTGATAAACTGTGACACCACATCGGCAATGTTAGGAATAGAGAACGGTTTACAAAGATTTAAAGAACAACCTTGACGACCTTATGATTTGGACCATCTTTTAAGCAGTGAAATTAAAGAATATTTTGCTGTCAGAAGAACATCTGTTGCAAAGCTCTATGACAAGAAACTGGAATCCGAATTTGATCAAATAAAGGCAACAGTAGTATACCGGTGTTCAAATGTCATAAATCGATTGAGAGAAAACATATCTGGGTTACAAACCAAAACCGAGGGAAACACATCAACTATAAGAGGAAAACAAAGGAACAACAGGAACACCGAAATGCAACAAAAAAAAACGCCAACACACATAGAAACGAACTATTTGATAACAACTGCAATATTCCTGACTTAGTACAGGACATTTTAAGAAAAAATGGTGGGTTGAATCTGGTTTAATGGCATGCCAAACCTCCCGCTTTATGACAATGTTAACAAATATCGCTAAAACACTACGTGGCAGAAATACAGCACAAACACACGTAAGAACATTCATAACAGAGAAACGCACAAACAAATAATATAATAGTCAACACAACATGCAAAGTGATCTGAATAAACTTCTGATAAGGAATGCAAAACAGCTTGGTAAAACCTACGAATCAATTTTTATGCTTCGCTTCAGACCAGTATATGGACTTCTTCACATATTGAACAGACACCACAACAGTTTCTTTTAAATATTGGCTGGTAAGACCAAAATGGAATAAATCCCACCTTTTTCAAGTGGCAAATGTCAGATTACATGCAAGATTTACTTTGAACCTGTAAATCTGTCTTGCACAGAACTCTGTCCGTGTTAAGGAGGTGAAGCGTACTAATACGATTACCGGATTCCCATTTATGACATTTCTTCGATAGTCTCTGTTATTATATTTAGACGAAAAGATTGACGTGTAGCTAAGATTCTTGTATGACATGTATGAAGCATTAATCTTTTACTGTTTACCCCTATTTGATGAAGACCAGCGCTAATAATTGTAGCTCTTTGAAGACAAGTTATACTGGTAGCAGTATCAACCACTTGACGTAGATGTAAGCAAATATAGGTCTCCGCTCAAACGCTAACAACGGGCAAAACCAACTGCTTGACTTGTGTACAAAAACAATTGAAAAACAAATATTATAGACATCAACCAACGAAAACCACCAAGCTCCTGACTTGGGACAGGCACATACACAACATGCATTGCAGTTCAGTAGGGTTGGGCTTGTTGATCGTTTGATGAAACTTTTTCTGTCTTCTAGAAAATGTTATAACAGCCATGCCACATTTTATGAAATAATGGAAGAACTCATTTTACCCTGGTTAGCCCCGGACTCCCCTTTTGCAAATAAGTATAGCATCAAATGCACGTGCTATATTGCATTATTTTGGTGTTAATTTATGGAAAAATAAAATAAGGAAGTATTAAGAACATATTTTTTTCAAAAGTGTTTATTTTTGTTAATTAGTCCTGTGATCATGTATCCATTGAAAACCCAATTATTTAAGAAACATTTTTGTAAAGTATGTCTGTATATCTCATATTTTAAGCTTAGTCGTTTTCACCTTTTCACCGAGTCAGGAATTGTTTAACCCGAGTTTCCACAACATGACCTGATATAAGTTCAATTAAGAAAAAGCAAGTGCAAGTCTAAAATTTTAGGAGAATGTCAACTATTGCAAGAGTGTTTTACTAATTCCTGCAGGGAGATAATGTAATCAAACGTAATCCTGGGAATAACTCTTTCATCGCTGTGCTCTGTTGTAGTTAAAAGGTAATACATAATTAAATATTTGACGATAATAATTGACTGACCTTGACCGAAGAGACAACATTTCTTGCCCTAATATGATGCAGATCTCAATCCGTTTATGTGGCATTAGACTTGGTTTAATTGTAAAATTGTTCTGTTAACAATTCACTTAGTTTTTACATTCAAGAAAGTAACCCTAATATACAGTACATGTTGTGATTAATGTTGACCATACCATTTATAATGGTGATGCATATCGACCATTCGACAACCTGTTGATTCAGATGTCAAACGTAAAAGATAGTGCTAGGTATATGAATGAGAATAAGAATCCCTGTCGTCATGATTCCTTTCTACCTAATTCGAGAATCATCACTTAGAGTATAGCAAAGTAATATCGACCGATGAAATTATTGGATATTTCTTAATTCTTGATCCAAGTAAGGGATAATCCTATGGTTTTCTTCGAAAAATGCCTGTTCCAAGTCAGGAATATGACAGTTGTTTTCCTCTTGTTCCGTTGGTTTATAACGTTTAATTTGGTCAGATTTTTTGGACTTCCCGTTTTTATTTTTTAATTTATTTGCGGTAGTATTATTTTATGGTGTTGTCTGCATCTGCGTCTGAAGACATTTTGGTTCGCAGACAATAACTTGATTATAAGTTCATAGATCTCTATGAAATTTTAGCACAAGGTTCCATACCACTAAAGGATGATTTGGATTGTTTTTTGACGGCTATTGCGGTTTTGTAATTAGGGGCCAAAAAACGTCAGTTTTACTGGTTCATGAAAAATAAATTGGTTCGCAGACAATAACTTTAGTGTAAGTGTATGGATGTGTAAGAAAGTTTAGTACAAGGTTCCATTTCACAAAAGAAGGGTTGGGATTGATTTTGGGGGTTATTGTCGTAGTGATTTTGTAATTAGGGGCCAGAAAAGGGCAAAAAACAATTAATTGTCTGGTTTAAAGACAATAACTTGAAAATAAGAGATATTTATTTGGTCAATATTTTAGCACAAGCTTCAACACCCAATAGGAAGGTTTGTGATTAATTTTGGGGGTTATTGTCATAGCTATTAAGGAATTATGGGCCAGAAAGGGTCTTACAAAAACATTTTTTTTTGTCAGGTTCACAGACAATAACTTGAGTATAAGTGTATGGATCTCGATTTTAATTTTGCCACAAAGTTCCATAATACAATAGGAAGGTTGGGCTCTATTTTGGGGGTTATTGTTGTAGTTTAGGAATTAAGGGCCAAAAAGGGGCCAAAAACAAGCATTTTTCATGTTTAAGGACAATAATTGGTGTATAAGAGTATAGATTTCTGTGAAATTTTACCACAAGGTTCCATACTTCAAAAGGAAAGTTTGGAATGATTTTGGAGTGTCATGGCTCATATCGTTTAAAAATTAGAGGCCAAAAAGGGCCTTACAAAAACAATTATTTGTCTGGTTCACTATGGGTCTCTATTCAATGTTAGCACAAGGTTCCATACCACAATAGGTAGGTTGGGGTTTATTTTAGGGGTTATTATAGTAGCTGTTTAGTAATTAAGGACCAAAAAGTGGTAAAAAAGAAGCATGTTTTATGTTTCAGAACACTAATTTGTGTATAAGAGTTTGGATTTCTATGAAAATTTACCACAAGGTTCCATATTTTAAAAGGAAAGTTGGGATTGATTGTAAGGGTCATGGTCTAAACCGTTCCATAATAAGAGGCTGAAAAGGGGCAAAAAAACTATGATTTTCTGATTTCTCGACAATAACTTGAGTATAAGTCTATATATTGCTATTTTATTGTGCCACAAGGTGTTATACCATAAAACAAAGTTTGGGATTGATTTTAGGGGTTATGACCCTATTGGTTTAGTTAAAAGGGGCCAAAACCAATAATTTAAATCAATTGCTTGT